TTTTTCACTCATGATATCAAATTGTTGTAATTTAAATGTAAATTAACTAGTTTGTAATTTTTAAAATCGATAGATATAAGGATCATTTTATCCTCGAACTTTGATTCGTGATTGACACTGTCATGTCCCTATAACCCTTTAAATTTTTAGTCAAAATTTGAAATTTCGGACACCCAATTAGTTAATTTATTCGTTATGGGACTAGTATTGAATAATTAATAATAAAACTAATTGCTATACAATTCTTTTCTACTTTTCCACAAATCCAAGTTTTTTGTTGGTTTATCTTAAAATAATCAAACCTTCATAGATAAAATAGTTATGTGGCTTCAAGTGATCGTTGAGTTATTTTCACAATAATCGACATTAATATCATAATCTATATATATATATAATTGCTGACAAATTTCAATAAATTTTATTCATCCAGCAATTAATAAAAATAGAACTTCAATTAATAAAAATCTTTATGACAATAAATTTTATTCAGTCAGCAATTAATAAAAATAGGACTTAATTTAATAAAAACCTTTATGACCAACATTCAAATGACAGTTACACAAGTAAAACCTTATTATCATTAATTTTTTATTCTGTAACTGTTTTACAAGATTTTAAGTTTTCTGATATATGATATTAAATTATTCTACAGCTAATATTCCTATTATGTTTTATAGTTATACAAAAAAAAAAAATACTGATTTATATGAATGTTAAATAATATATATTTATATTATGCATTTACATAAACTCAAAATTTTAAAATGTAATACACCTTATCTAATTTAAATTTTTAAATATCATATACGTACATATAATATATAAATTTTTGTTTTCCTCTGTGCATGTGCATGTGCACAGAATCGAATACTAGTTTGAATATGATCCATAGTAAAAATAACTAAGTGCTTTGCCAATAGTTGGTCGTATTCCTCCAATACAACAGTACTATATATTATATTTTTATTAGAAAAAAGATTAAGATAGGAATTTTAATTTAACTTATGCCGTTAGATTAAATATATGTTTCTAAATCATTGTACATTGTATTGTGATTTCGTACTTTTTGTTGATTAGACTCGCACAAAGTCGAGTACTATTATATGTTTCAGGTCAACTCCAACAGAACTAAAAACAGTTCATATAGGGTGTGCATTGTGCAATCTTCTAAAATTAAATGTAAATATAAAAAATGGTTAGAATAAAAAATGAAGGTGTTTTTTCTAATGTTGCATTGGCATATTTTTATTTTTTTTTTTATTTGTTGCTAACTAAGCAAAAATATTTTACAATCGGATCACCATGATTGACTCCCTGAAAGCCTATTGAATCCATATTAATAATAGTTAAATAAAGAATTATAATAATAGTTGACATGATGAATAGTAAACGGTAAAGAATGGCATAACTTACAACTCTTCAGTCTTCATCTATCATAGTCTAAGAAACCATTAACTAATCATCCACAAAAATCATACTTCTACCAATTTCATTACATCATTTTTTGAGGTCATTAAGCTTTAAGTAGGGTTAAGTGGGTTGAAATAATCCATCATTAATTTTGGTTTTACAAGTCCACACCCACAAAGGAGATTCAACCCCCATTTCCATTCCACATATTGCTTGTCATTTTCTTATGGGGAATTTTGACATTTTCAAAGATTAGTTATGATGAAATGTGAAGTTGCAAATGCTTAGATAATCAATAGACAAGATTATAATTCTAAATTTCTAATTTAGAATGATTAGTTTTAACAACTAAAGTTGTAAATGAACAGAGCTCGAGCTAATACAAGTTTTGACTTACTCTTATTAAGCAAAGTTGCTAAATTAATGAGTCGTGGAACGAGGTTGAGTTTGAATTGCATTACAAGAAAAATAAAAATAAATAAATAATATTAAAAAAAAAANTAGGTAAAAATTCCTATTTAGCAAAGCCTACGATGCATGAGTTTTGACTTGACCCTTATTATGCCAAGTTGCTAAATTAATGAGTCATTTAACGAGGGTGAGTTCGAATTGCATTAAAAGATAAACTTTCAAAAAATAAGGTAAGAATCCCTATTTATCAAGCCTACGAGCCTTAAACAACCTGAAACTCACCTAATCTAAGGCTATGTTTGAAGAGCTACTTAAAGTAATAACTTATCAGATAAGTTCAAACTTTTAAAAAAACTAATTCTACGAAACGTAACTTATTTAAATACAGAAAACTTAAAAATTAATTAAATATGCTATAAGTTAGGGTATATGCTACCAAACATAGCCTAATTTATCAAACACATCGGGGAGAGCTCGAGCCTAGCACACGAACAAAATTTGGTAAAGAGAAGGAGAACAATAAATAAAAGGGAGATCAGTATAATCCCTTCTACACTCAGAGGGCACTAATTTAATAGCCTTTGGCATGGATCTAAAAAACCTAGAATTTTTTGGTTATATTCGAAACATCGACATATCATTCACAAATAAACTCCACACATGCACCAAATTCCCAAAACTTAATATATAGCAAAATAAGCAGAGACAAATACTCAAAAACTCCACATGGGAACATCACATTNTAGAGGACATAATAACTAGTTCATTCAGGCGAAAATCTCATCAACATATCAAAAACGCATAAAAAACCACCAGATTATAACAATTTAAAACTACCTCAAACCCATAGATAAGAGCAAACAACACACACTTCACGCAGTTGCAGCCCGGGCTGCAAGCCTCTTCCTAGCTTCCTCAATGATGGACAGCTTAATACCTTTGCCCTTGGGAAGAGATACCCATGGCTTTGTACCCTTTCCAATAGTGAACACATTGCCCAGACGAGTGGCAAACTCGTGCCCAGTTGCATCTTGAATATGAACAGTCTCAAAGCTTCCCTTATGCTTCTCACGGTTCTTGATAACCCCAACTCGTCCCCTGTTTCGACCACCAGTCACCATAACAACATTGCCAACGTCAAATTTGATGAAATCGACAATTTTGTTGCTTTCAAGGTCGAGTTTGATGGTGTCGTTGGCCTTAATGAGTGGGTCCGGGTAGCGAATGGTTCTCCCATCATAGGTGTTGAGGTAGGGAATGCCTTTTTGGCCGAACTTGACCGAACGGACCTTGCAAAGCTTGAACTGTAAAACAGACATAGAAAAAGGTGCGTGAAAATCTATTATGAAGATTAAATCTTTGTATCAAATGAAAAGCTACTGAGAAGAAATAGAAATTATCTACTCTGTCCGAAAATCGTTCAATTATATTTTTCCTTTTATCCTTTGCCTTCGACATAATTTCAATCCAATTTAACTTAGGGATTTCAAAACATAGTATACTGAAGATATTTCCAGGAAAAAAAAAAAAAAAAAATCTTGCTTGGTCATAAAAAGAGAGGGGTATTTGGGTTTTTGTGATATATTCTTAAAGTTGCCACTTTAAGTTTGAGAGTTCGCATAGAACCTTAGTACAGGCTGCATGGCTCAATACCCATCACAAGACCAACTGAACTCAAAAATGATGAATATGCGTGCAAATATATACGACAAGAAAAAGAATGGCATCAAGGTACAAATTTTTAACAGCAGTCAACCAATCTATATTGATTTGTTATGACTCAATGCCCTTGATAAATTTACACTGATGACAAAATAACTCATTACCTCATATAGGCTATTACAATGTGGCCCAACACATCCAATACAGTACTTCGTATATACTGAAATATGCAGATATTTCAACACAAAGGAGAAACATAGAAGGTAGGAAGAAAACAGACCTTGGCTTCCTCATCCCTGATTATGTGGAGACGAAATCGGCCCTTGGTGTCGTACAGGAGACGGAAATATTCATTGGTTTTTGGGATAGACACCACATCTTGAAAAAGGAAAAAAATATAGCAGAAACACCATTTTAGATTGAATGCCAAAAAAAAAAAAAAATCCAAACAACACGATGAGAAGTACTTACCCATAAAGCCAGAAGGATATGTCTTATCAGTCCTGACCTTCCCGTCGACAAGGATATGACGTTGCATTAGGATAGCAATGACTTCACGGTAAGTAAGGGCATATTTCAGCCTGTTTCGTAGAATGAGAATCAAAGGCAGGCACTCTCTCGCCTTGTGGGGCCCAGATGACGGCTTGGGGGCCTAAATTCATGTAAGTTTACAGAGCTTTTAGTTGAACAGACCGAACAATAGTTCACCACGCAAGCAGAAAACAATTATAGAGAAAAAGAATACCAAAAAAAATACAGAATAATTGGTAATGGCTTACAAAAGCACCACCAAGCTTATCCAACATCCAATGGCTGGGGGCATTGAGCCTCTTCAAGTGCTTCTTCAATCCTCTCGCCTATTAAAATCGGATCAAACAATATGGCACAATTAACAAACCATAACCAAGAAGAGAAAGACATGAAAAACTAGAGGCTTTCCACAAGAATCCTTAAACACGAACCCCTAAAGTCCACTTTTCATTCATCAACATTACAAAAACAAAAACGACATACTAAAAGATCAAAAGCACGCCACGCAGGCACACACAATCTCTAGACCTGTCTCCACAACATGATATATTCCATTACAGAAACAATTCAAAAGATTAATTTTTAATTCAACATTTACAATGATTCAGAAGATAAGCAGCAGCTCAAAATTGATCCACACAAACACAATAAATGTCCAGAAACTCCAAACGCAAATTTTCACAACCATACGAAGCATAAAGCATAAACAAATGTACGAACTTCAAAAGAAAATCAACACACAAGATTGAGCTACTACTATCTCAATTCTCAGCCATACCTAAGACAATCAAGCAGAAAAAAAATGCTGGCATAGGACGCTCGATACAAACGCATACATGAATCAGAAAGCAAACTTAGTACGACATTAACGAATACCAAAGGTTGAGAAAATTCACTGACCATTTTTGCTGGTGGTCGATGGAGTACACGGCGGCTCCCTTTCTCGCTTGCGGTAGTGTAGCTGTGTAGGGAAATGAAAACCCTAATCTCCGTTATATGGCTGAAAGTTCACGAGCAGGGGTATACTTGTGATTTTACCTTAATTTTCTTTGGGCTGAAAATATCAACCCTGAGGCCCGAACAAGTATTTCAGGTTTTGGGCCCAAAGGACCAAAAGTCGCGCCGCGGATTAGTTTCATAGTTTATGTCAACCATTTCTTTAGATTTGTTCAGATATTGGTCTTATCGTGTCATGTTCGTGTTTTATTATCATAATTTCATGTTCGTGTATTACTATCGTGATTTAATGTAATCTATATTTATTTGATTATAAATATAGAATTATATCTAGATTTAACTAAACTTTTTGTTTTGAATATGTTATGTTAGTGTTTATTGTATCATTTGTCTCTATAATCATGTTTTTTAATTATGTACTCGTGTCAAGGTCGTGTTTCATCTCGGACAAGCCATTTTCCCATAAATTATAATATTTTTCTTCTAGTTTCATAACATTTTTTATGATGCAGGCCATTTATTGTGATCGTAAATCTACTATCTTTGGGTAGTTGGTTTTCCATTTTGACTCTCATGTTAACTAATACAGTGATTGATAAAAGTTTATTCAAATTTTAACTAGAAATTTCATAATATATCTAAATAAAAATTTCGAAATAAATTACGAATATTTTTTACATTTATGAAGCAATATAAAATAGTATAAGTACATTACTGTTGTTTTTGCACTGAACTTTCGGTTCTAGATTTTTTATTTACAAAACCTTATAAAACTATAGTATTAAAAATAGACAACAAATTGATGATATCAATATAGATGAACTGAATAAATCTCATGTGGGTTTTAAAAGTGATTGGTCGAAAAGTCTGTATTTATACATATTTATTTACGTATTTTTATATACTTAATTTTGTCGTATTTATATATTTTTTAACTTACTTATTTATTAGATAAATTCAAGTATTATGCTGTATTATAATTTATTTACATACGATTAGAGTACTTTTATGGACGGCGAAACATTAAACAAAATTTCAGCCGTCACAATATAGAGTCCCCATAATGACCCAATATTGGCACATATTAAAGCCGAATGAAGATTAATTAAAGAAAAAACACATATGTTAGTGATGTTTTAAGGCCAAGAAAGTAATGGGGGCTGCAGGACAATTGTCGTGGTCACCTATTCAACATAAGGGTTGGTTGTCCACTTAGGACTTGTTAAAATCACGCAACTACAGAGTTTTGTAGACAATAGGCAAGTCAGATTTAACGTAGAAGCCACACAGTTAAAATATATACACGCACGACGAACGTATGTAGAAGCCGACCAATTGTTGAGGGAGATTGTACCTGCATACGGGAGAATAATTATATTCTTCTTATTTTCTTTTTATTTATTACGTTAGTGTAGTTTTTATTTCTAGTTTCGAAAAAGTCAAATTATATATACTTTAATTAATTATTTTGCTATTTATATGAAATTGATTATGTTATTATGTTTTATTAACCATGACTTATCTGATTTTATTAAGATTGATCACCTAAATAAGTTTTTTCATATCTAACACTAGAATTCAACTTGCAATCCGTAATTGTTGTTGAGTTAGATTCATTAATACGAAATGATAGCCGAAAACTGTCCTACATAACACAATCTAATTAAGTAGACTGGGTGTGTGGATCTACTACGTAGACTAGCCAATTTTCATGGATTCTAAAACTGCTACGGTATTATATTTAGAGAACGATTTTGGACTGCCATGTAGTTAGGTTTAACTGAAGAGTGTATTTGGCTAAATATATTGTAAGGGAACATTCGGGTAACAGAGCATGTTGTTATCTAGGGCTACTAATTTCATAAAATAGTGAAACTTGACGTCACAATTAGTTAAATTAGTCGAGCGATTGAGTAGATGCCAACGTGTTCTCTATTTATTCGTTTTATATTTATTGTTATCCAATTCTTAGTTAGTTTAGTTATTAAATCACCATCCCTCCCATTTATAACTTTTATAATTTCAATTAACACGAAAAAATCACGATTTGAATCACATTCCTTGTGGGATCGGGTCTTACTTGCCGCTACTACTAGTTAATAGAGGTTAACCGAGAAAAAAATATAAATTATAATTTACGACGCGCGGTCAATTTTATAGATATTTTTCAGTGTTCTTACATTACTGAAGCACTGTGTTTTGTTTTTATGTTACAAACACTTTTCGTACTTAGGGAGTAAGTACTAGTATAGCTGGGATGGATCCATGGCTAGTTTGAAGCCACACGTTTGTGACCAGATGATTAGTTAATAGGTTTGGGTAAAGTATTGGCTAGACAATAAGGAAGTTCGAGCCTTGTAACTCCAAGATGTACTTTATGCACGCAAACCAATGAAAGAGTTTTGAGGGATAATGGCACGCTCCCCGAAGAGATTGTTAAGTTAATTGCTTCCGCTTTTATTTTTGGTGTTCGAACACACTTATGTGCTCTAATTTACCCCCGCATACATTTCAACTTCTAGGATTATCTACCATGCAAAAATAATTTAGAATTTAATAATATTTATATTTGTCATTTTTTTTATACCTTAAATTAACCATACTTAACGAGATTGAACGTATATTATATGTATAAATTATATATTACTTATATCTACCTTCATAATAAATGTCACATTATACATCAATCCTAATTGAGTGAAATGGTTTTTAAAATAAATAGTTCTATTTTTATTTTTTGAAATATTTTAACTATAAATTTTTAATCAACACAATACTATTAGCAATTAAACAATTGTGTGCATATTTGATATATATTCTTACAGATAAAATATAAAATAAAAAAATCAGTTGGTGTACTAATCATGGTGCAACTTTATTTAATTGCATTGAAAAATAATATATTTTTAATAAATTAAATATAGTTATTTTGATTTTTAAAACAATAAAGTAACCTCTATTTAGGGCTGAGCATGAGACTCGAAGAATTCCGAACCGTTCCTAAAATCGAACCGAAAAAATAATTGGTACGGTTCTGGAGGTTTCCTAAATATCCGTACCGAGAACCGAACTGAACCGTCCCGTACTGTACCGAAGGGAAGAACCGAAATTATGAACCGAATTATAAAAATATATGCTTGTTCTTAATATATTTTATGTCAACATTGATCCTATATATTTGAGAATTTTTAAAATGCAAATAAAATATAGTAATAACAATTAAGATTCACTTACATTTCATGTTTAGTAATACTTGATCTACAATTGAATTTCTCTTGTTTAAAAAAAAGATAAAATGGAATGAAAGGTTAAAGATTATAAAAAATTATTTAAGTTTTGCTTAAAGTTGTCGATATTTCGCCTTAGTTTATCTTATAACTAACATGGTATGAAAGGTTAAATAAAGATTACTTTAATATAAAACTAAATTTTTGTTTGAATATTAAATTTTTAATGTTAGTTGAATTTAGTCTTAACTAAAATTTAAGGTTACTTTTAAAGTTGACTTAAAAATAAAATCTTTAGTATGATGAAGTATTGATGATTGTTGGATTTTTTTTTTTAAAAAAAAAATCATATATAAAATAAAATATAACTAGGTGGTCGTTCAAAAAATTTTTAAAAATGATCCGAACCGAACCGAACTGAACCGAAAAACTGAACCAAACTTAACCGAAAAATAAAAATCTCCAAACCGGACCGAACTGATTTTTTGGTACGGTTCGAGAGATCGAATTTTAGTGATCTCCGAACTTCGATACGATTCTGGAGATTTATCAATCTTTGAACCGTACCGACTTATGCTCACCCCTACCTCTATCCCTTTCTACCCAATACTTATATAAACACAGAATATATTAGAAAATCATTTAAAAATTAAATAAAAATTTTTACTTTTCATTAACCATGAAATTCACAACTTTGTAAATTAATAAGTAGACTCCATGTACTGAAATATAGGTATGTATTTCCCAAATTAACATGAAATTTATAAAATTGAACTTACAATACTTTTTTCAATTACATCCTGGCATGTGCTACATTTAATGAACCAACCAATTGATATTGTGTCCCTACAATTGCTAATACTGTTTCAAAATTCCATATTGTATTTTAAAAAAAGTTGTCAGATGTATAGTACATAAAATTGATGCCAAGTGGATTCTTAAGATAAGGTCATTTATAAAATTGTTAGATTTACCAAAGCAATTATTATATTTTCCAGCAAATAGAAAAGCACTAATGTCAATAAATGCTCACCATTTTTCTTCTTTATTTTTATTCTTCCTTCTTTTTTTTTTTTTTNGTTCAAGAATTACAATGCCACCGTGGAGTTCACCTGGCCCAATTTCTGGTAGAGTCAAACCTACTTATGTTTACATATTTTAGGTTCTTAAGTATCTGAATATTATATTTCAATATAATATTATCTAACTATATCACAGCCACAGGGGTTAAAAGTAGCTTAATTATTACAAAAATTAATACTACACATGGAGACTGGGCTAATGTGAAAATGAGACTTTGGGTCTCACTTTTCAAACAGAAAAACTAAAAATAGTCCATTACAGATATTCGAAGGCCCACAAAGAGATTTAGACTGATTTTTATGGGCCCAATTGATGATTTGGATTCGAGTTCTCAGAAATCGGGTCACTGGTAAGAATGTCCTCTCAAGGCATAAATCATAATAATAAGACTTTGCTTTGTTGAGAGCAAAAGGATAATTGAATTATAAAATACAGAAATCATTAATGATGTGATTAAGATAATCACATATTTATGTTTCAATTTATAACATTTTGGGACAATGTATACTTTTGTCATGAAACTACATACGTCTAACGTTAAACTTGTCTAACATTCAAAGTCATTTGTATTTCATTTTGGTATAAGACACTTTCAACATATTGTACAGTACTTACACAAATTTTTGTGTGACTCCTATAATTTTTTTCTTTTTTCTTTTTCTTTTGAAAGACGAAGAAAGAAATTTGTTTTTCTCATTTATTTTCTATATCGACGAACAC